GATGATGTCCAAACATTGTACATTTGCTGTTATGTTAAACGTATATTAAAGTTTTTCTTTGTTACCCATTCAAGCTGTCTCCAACCATTATTATACCCATGTAACTAAAATCATGGAACTCTTGTTAGCTGTTCTGCAGACAGTTATTGTTATTTTTTGCAGAATCTTCATTCAGATTCTTTTGTTTTAGTAGTGAAGTTGACTACAGCAGGGAAATGTTGTGTCTAGATTGAGCAACAATTTTTAAAAAATCTTTAAAAACTCGTTAAGTTTAATGTAAATGGTTATTTTATGCTTTTGAAATCAGTTTTAGAAATACCGGGTCTGTTGATGTGACTAACCTTGTAACCATAGTAATCATCAGTTTCCACACTATAACTTTTAATATATTTTATATATTTTAGGAAATTTGGCAAACTTTCAGTAAATATTAAAAGTCTTGTACACAAAAAATCAGGTTGTGATATTATTTTTGCTAAATATTTGTCCATGAATATATAATCAAAGTGTTGACTGTTCTGAGTGTGAAGTGATTTTCAGATTAAGATAAAACATACTTTTTATCCAAAAATTTTCAAATTTCTTTTGTGTAACCTCTAAAACTTCCAAAATAAGTACAAAACATTTTTCAGTTAAATCCTGTACTTTATTTTCTCGAACTGTGTATGGACATTGTTTTTTTATAACAGAAAAGGACACAGGTAAACGTTTTGGAATTCTACAGATTCCATCTTCAGTATCTAAAGCAAAAATAAAAGAATTGCATCATTCCTAAATAACTGACTGAAATGCATTCCTGCAATAACAATAATTTAATCAAAACTAAAACACATAGAAAGTGGAGGAATAACAAACAAATTACTGTACATATTAAAAATCTGCAGTTTAAAAGAAGACTGCATGTAATTCAGTATTGGTAAGAGTTTTTTGATGTGGAGGGTTTCTTTAATCAGTAATTCCAAATCCTTGTTGGCCTGCAGAGGTTATTGAAATTTGATAAGTTTTGTTTGTGTCCTGTGTCTTCACAGGTATTACTGAACCTTTTTTGTGGAAATTTCCATTTGTTCATTGGTGGTAACTAGTAGACAGCACTTGGGTTTGCCAACACAGGAGGCTCTATAGTCTCTACACATGTAAATATACACAAGCCACGAATAAAGAGAAATTGGGAGAAGGTCTTTAGTATGGAAAAAATCCTGTATGGGTGTTGTTGGTTTAAAAACTAATATGAAATCAACTTGGGGTAGTAACAATGAATTACACATTTAATAGACTCCTTACACAATTTGACAGCTTTATCCAGTTCATATACAAAAGAAATCTTGTAACATGCTTATTAAACAGAGCTTATAATTTATGTTCTACATACCTTAATTTACACTCAGAAATTTCTCTCATGCAGGATACTCTAAAGTGTAATGGCTACTAATACCTTTCTAAATAAGAAACACAAATCCACTCAGACTACCAACTGTATTCAAACTTAATATATACTTCTTGTCTTCTATATATTGGGAAACAAAGCTTAACTTTAAAAAGTCAAATTAAATGTATAATTCATTGTTACATAACAAAGAAACAGGACACGAACTAATCAAATTTCAATATCCTTTCCAAATCCAACAGTGATCTGGAATTACTGATTAAAGAAACCCTCCACATCAAACAACTTTCACCAATACTGAATAACATGCTGTCTTCTTTTAATTTCACATTTTTTAATATGTACAGTATTTTAATTTGTTACTCCTTCACTTTCTATGTGTTTTAGTTTGATTAAATCACTGTTATTGCAACAATGTACTTTAGTTATTTACTTAGGAATGATGTAATTCTTTTATTTTTGCTTTAGATACTGAAGATAGAATCTGTAAAATTCCCAAACATTTGTGTCCCCTTCTGTTATAAGTATTGTTGTTTATCTTAAGTATTGTTATCCTTTTTGTTATGAAACTGTTTTCCTCTGAACACATTGATTCCTCATCTAATCTATCTAACCTCAAGTTTCTAATTTCTACATTTATAGTTACTTTTATAACAAGAACTTTAGTATTTACCTGATGAAATTTAAGCCTATGTTCTTTATACTGATGGTACTAGTACACTAAAAACTACTTAAGTAAGGCACCTAAAACACAAAATAATAACACACAAAGCAGACAGTGTTCTGTAACTATTATAATTTAACTGACTGTAAGAAAACTTTTACCTTTCTATTGGTAACTTGTGAAAGAGAAAATGTGACAGGTGGGTGTGACTTTCTGTTTTATGCCTCTATAAACAAAGAAGATTGAAGGCTATGAAAATTCTACCTTGCCTTAGTAATATCTGTATTATAATGAGTAATTTACATTAGACTACTTCACAGTGGGCTGGTAAGTAAATTAGAGAATGGACAAGACCCAGAGAACAAATGTCATGATTCTCATACAAGGGGGAGATTGAGGATTTATCTAAATATTTCCTTTTAGAATTAAAATATTAAAACTTGTATAATATTAAAATTTGACCTACTAACTATATTTTGATGCCAAAATTATTTGTATACCTTGATAATAAAGTAATTTAATTAGATTTTGGATGTAACTAAAGCTAAATTAAAAAGGTCATGACATGTACACTTTAATATTCTGATAGTAAGGGGGTTAAAGAACATTGTTACACTACTGTGACACAAAATTAACAAAGGAGCTATAATGCTGTTTTAAGTAATTACAAACTAGATTATGCCAATTATCTTAAATTGCTTTTTATATTTCTCTTTTGTAGAATTTATTTGTAAACTAATATTGAAATTGATTTCAAAAGTATGTACATGTTTTATTTCAGCATGTGTACTCATATTTCCCAATAAACTGGGGTTTGCATTGCAAATCACAGTTACTAAAAGTTAGTGTTATCCATGTGTTTTTTGTGCTTTAAATTCAATTTTTCTCTAAGATTTACAGTGTAGATAATTTGTGTGTATGTATACATACACACACAAACCTTTCTCTTGAATGAAATATTACATTTTATTTTTCTAAAAACAAGCATTATTAGAAGTTCTGACAGTTTTCAAGTAACATAAGTTATTTCACTCTTAACAATTTTACATGTTTTCATTTTTCAGAGTATGATTACCATGTTATGGCTCAGCAGGCAGCTGCTGTCTCCCCCTCTAACAATGCAGCAGCTGGTCTTCATCCTGCCATGGCCCAACTGCCCATGATGCCAGCTGGTCTCAATCTCTCAATGAGTGCAGCCAATCAACTAATGGCTGCTGGGGGCTTGCAACACACACAACTTGGAAACAGCAATACTCCCCGCCATTTGGGTCATGGATCTGCCCTGGTCTCTAGTACCTCCCCTCATGGAGCAATGGGTGGAATACCCCATGGTAAGGCAAAGTCCAAGAAACCCAAGGTAAATAAAGATGGAATTCCAGCTCCAAAACGTGCCACAACAGCATACATTAATTTTACACAGTGGTATAGGGAACAAATGAAGAAGTCAGGAAAACAGATTCCGCGGGTACGTTTCTCTTCTTTTTTTTTATCATTTAAATGTGAAGATCAATAAATTTAACACTATGATTGCTGAGTGCATAATATTTGACAACATTCATCCACTTTGAAGACCATAACCTGTATTAATGTTGTCATTTGTCATTAATATTCTGAATATGCCACTATGGTTGTCATGTCAGGAAAAGAAAAGCTTCAAAATTATTACTTGGCAACCACAGTATTTTAGGCTTTAAGGTTTTTTTGGCTTAAAAAGTAAAAATGAGAAATATCTGATTATGTAAAGAAATATACTAGCTAGTATCAAAATTTAATTCATAACTTAAATCTATAAAACTATTTTCTATGCTGTTAAAATGTTGTTAGAGCAATTTAAATGATTCTGCAGCAGAGTTGTCAAAATGTTTCTGGTTTTAAATTGCACATCACTTTGATGTTTTGAAGATTACTGGTATAGATACCATTTGGTTTTTTATATTATTATTATTAATTTATAAAGCTACAGCCATGAAGGGTAGTTAACCATAAAAGAAAAATTATTTACATGTGTTAAACCAAACATTGAGAAATTATTAAATACATAATTACACATTTTTAATTTAAATAATTTAAAATTTGAAGGTTGACCAATCATCAGATTTCAATTGATTTAAAATAATTTAGAACTCAAAACTGAACTACTTCTTGGACAGTAATAGATATTTCTTTCTCTAGAAGGAATTAACAAATTCAAAAATACTTAATACCAGGCAGTTGTCAAGAAGCCTGGTAGCATCAGAAACAACTCATTATTCACTACTTAAAACAGTCAGCAAAAGTATAAGCCTCTATGATAAGAGTCGTATAGTCAGCATACAGGTATCTTTCGAACATACCAAAATTAAATCATTTATATAAATAATAAACAAGAGGGGGCCAAGGACTTAACTTTGAGGAACCCCACAATGAAGACTACAGAAATGGGACTTTCTTCCATTAACCCTACCGAGATAGGTCTGACAGGCTTTTCTATGGCCTCGTGTCAAAGGCCATGTCATCACGTTTGTGAACTTACATTCAAAATTTTATTGAACTGTTATTTTATGAATGAATGTCAATAAGTTTGGTATTAAATTGTAGATTATAATTCAAAGTTTAGTATTATACATTAGTTAATTTCTTAATTCAAATGTATATATTTTATTTTTAAAAATCCTAAATATAGATTTTTTGGGTTATGTGGTATGTTTAATGCAGCATTGGTTCAGATTAGTTGTTTGTAATGTCAAAATCCAAAGCC